ATTGATAAGGAGGGAAAGGGGGGGGGGGAGGAGGATGAAAACTTTTGCTCTTTTAAATTCTGCCTTCAAAGTGGCTTTCCAAAAAAAATGGAATGAGTTTAACACACTTTTTTCAGCGCTGAAAGATTATAATATTAGTGACGAACTTTTTCGTCCGTCTCCGATAGGACCAAATTAAGTGGGTCGAGAGCCATACAAACGCCTCAAATAACCCACAATCACAAACGCCATGTTTCGAATCGGATCTAGGGTCATACTCATTGTGTGGTTCCTGCTTCTTTCTACTAACTGACCTACCAGAAAACCCCTATTTCGTTAGAGGAGCGTTCATTCTTCTAAAAAATACTCTTGCTTATAAACTTTGTCTTGTTTGTTTTTTATTCACAAATTTGTAGTGCATACAGAAAAATCTGCTTACATCTTAAATTACCAGTAAGGTAAAACAATCATGGTAGGGTATTTCATTAACCACAGTATGAAATAATGACATGATTTAAAAGCAATCATGTTTGTCCAAACAAATACTTGTCCAGTTTACAAAAAAGCACAACAAACCCACACCAACAACCAAACAATGACAGCAACAGCCCCCCCCCCCCCAATCAAAATACCCAAAACAACAGAGAAAAATTCCCCAAAACTAAAAAAGGCAGAGCTAGCTAGATAGATGGATGGATAGATAGATAGATAGATGGATATATAGATAGATAGATAGATAGATAGATAGATAGATAGATAGATAGATAGATAGATAGATAAATAGGTAGATAGATAGACAGACAGATAGTTCAAACAAATGTTTGTACAGAAAGGAAAATATTAATCTAAATAATATTATGATGCACGTTCTTTCGAACACGAGGTCGAAATTGATATGACAGAATATCTTAAGTATTTGTTTTAAGATAATCATACAGTCAATGGTTATGGACATTGCGCTATAATATAACGTTCGTCTTTAGAGGCACGAGTACAATAATTAAGGACAGAATTTTGTACCAATGGCCAATGAGGAAGAGCAATAACACGGCTCGAAAAAGCATTACAAAGGCTAGTTTTTCTCTGGGTTAAAGTTATGCTGTGTGCCAAGGCGTCGTACTGTAAAGCATACATTATTATAAAAATACTGACATCCCACCACGTAGCTAGTCCTTAGATCACCTAGGGCTGACCTGTATCCATTATGTCAACCCATTTATGCGTGTAAAACTTAACAACAGTTTTGAGGATATAAAAATATTATGTTTTTATATGACATGAGCGCTAACTAGCCAGAACATGCGCAGAATGCTGTAAATGTCACGGCACTGGTGTTCCGAGGGGGTTTATGAATAAGGAATGTTTAAGACGAATCTCGTTAGGTAAATCAAACAACAAAAACATTCCAGATCTGCCTAAGTAGGGTTTTTTTTGTTCTCTCGGAAAATATTGGCTAAATAATAATATTTTGAAATATTGTTGAATTGCATCTCTTTGCGTGACAGATAATCAAAGGAATACAATAAATAAAGATAAAATGGTAAAATGAAAAAAAACCCCAGCTAATTCATTTTCTCTTTTGTGGCTTCTTTTACAATATTATTAGTATCATTTTTATCATTATCATTATTATTATTATTATTAATATTATTATTATTATTGGTATTTCTATTATTATTATTATTATTATTATTATTATTATTATTATTATTATTATTATTATTATTATTATTATTATTATTATTATTATTATTATTAATATGCTTGATCCCTTTGCTGAGCAAGACCTTATTTTCTTTAAAAAAAGGGCACTGCAGTGCAGTTTTGAGCCATTTTTCTTCAAAATGTTTATTTGGGATATCCGAATAATATAAATTCGTATTATGTCTATACTCATATACACGCTAGTAATTAATAATAATAATAATGATATTAATAATAATAATAATAATTATAATAATAGTAAGGATAATAATAGTAATACTAGTAATTATTAACATTCGTATTGCGAATAACCCCGCTCTAAACCAAGCTCTATGTCTTTTACAAATTAACGACATTAACAAACCCAAGAACACTCAGAAACATTCTCAGCTTCCCGTGAATGACACAGAGTAATCGGCCGATTGAGGGCTCAAACACAAAAACACTGACAAGATCTTTCTATAGCTGGGTCAAGTGAGGAAGATGCGTGTAAAATACCCTTCTCAAAGACACATCATTACACCCTGATAGATTGGAACCCATGATCATTCGGTTGCGAGCCCAACAGCCTAACCACTAGACCAATGACACCCTGAAGCTTTTCACTCAATAGCTGCTGGCCTTTACATTTTCCATCGCATAGGGCATGCGGTCTAAAGAATTGTAAAAGCTGTTCTCACAGGTTGTATGAATCAAGCAGCAACAACAACAACAACAACAACAACAACAACAACAACAACACACTCACTCACACACACACACACACACACACACACACACACACACACACACACACACACATCACTCTCTCTCTTTCTCTCTCTCTCTCTCTCTCTCTCTCTCTCTCTCTCTCTCTTTCTTACACACACCTTTCACAGTGAATTTGTTATGAAAATAATAGTAAAAGCTGTTTTTAATGTTGTACGCATAAAGTAATCATGTTACAGGCTTTATCTTAACAGAGCATGACCGCCGGATTTCAGGGGAGCTTGGATCAGCTAACTAAAACAGAGGTCATAGGGACCAAACGCTACACCAAGCTAGCTGAAACCTCATTCGATACAGGGATGTTAAACATTTTCCTCACACCCTATATTAAATTCCAGAAAAAGAATATCTTTTTTTCCCGAAATCTTGTTTCAAACCGAATTCCCACCTACAGAGATTCACTCCTATTCGTCAGATTTTTTACATTTTGATCTCAGTATTATAAAGACACTTCCCAAGACGTCCACTTGTGTGAAAGAGCAACTTTTGTCCTGAACGAGTAGTCTGTGGCCGTCAAAGAAAATTATTTCGAATGTAACTCCTTTGGCCAAGTAACTCATTTGAGTTCACCATTTTTATAATAACGTATTATCTTATCTTATCTTATCTTATCTTATCTTATCGTATCTTATCTTATCTTATCTTATCTTAATCCCAGTACGACAGGTGGCGTTGCTTTTTCCTCCTTAAGTTAATTGAACCGTGATGAAAGCAAAAATGGCGATACATTGCAAATACTTTTAGGACCCTTGCAATTATTTACTAGTGAGGGCTCGTCTTAAAAGAACTATCAAACGCAATGTTTGGAAATTAAGTTCTAAGGATTTTAATATTATGTTTTAGGAAAGCTCGTTCGTTTCAGGAAGATGTTAAAAAAATCAGACATTTAATAGGGAGGACAAGAAGAACATTGGTTATTTCCTTATTGTATCACAAAACTAAATTTGGTGCTTGTTTGTTGGGATATGAAGGGGGGGGGGGGGAGCAAGTTTTTTTCGGGGGAGGGGGGGGGTAAGATGTACATTCCTCAGGGCCATTTTCACTCGTTCCTGATGGTGTTCCGATGACCAGTGGCCAAAACAGCTATCTGTTCTGTCTTGGAATGTCACGAAGTTACAATCAACGTGGGGGGACGATTTATGATCTCTCTGTCGCTACATTGTTGGTCACCTGACGTCGCCGGAAATAACACGTTGATGGGAAAAGGTCAATAGAGGTCAAACTGTCTCTACCTCTCCTCAGAATATTTTCGTTCGCAAAAGATGTGCATGTCTGTCTGTATACATTCACGTACGTTTTCTTCGGGGATCATTTCTCTACATTTCACGGCAGTTACCCCCCCCCCCCCCCCCCCGGGCGCACACACACTTTAAAAAAGCAAAAATCTACAAAAGAGCCAAAAGGAAGTTAAAATGAAAAGGCAAAACAGAACAAAATAAACAAACACAACAAAAGACAGAAGAAAAAAAAACAAAACAAAAAAAACCACACACACACGTTTTAACATCATAAGATCATATTATTTCAAATTAATTTCAATTTTTAATTCTATCAACTTATCTTCATTCATTTAGTCCCCCCCCCCCCTCTCTCGTCCTTTCAAAACACCTTTCTTCATCTCGTGTTTTCTGTCTTAACCTGCCCTTTCTCTTTCTTAATCTCTCTGTCTTTGTGTGTACCTATGTGTCCGTCCGAGTGTCTACGTGTCTGTCGGACTCCCCTGCCCATCTCTTATATAAATTTATATAAATTATATATATATAATATAAATAAATATATATATATATATATATATATATATATATATATATATATATAAAAAGAGAGAGAGAAAGAGAGAGATGTGTATATATATATATGTGTGTGTGTGTGTGTGTGTGTGTGTGTTTGTGTGTGTTTTGTGTATTTATGATTGCGTGTGTGAGTGTGTGTGTGTATGTTTTGTGTATTTATGATTGTGTGTGTGTGTGTGTGTGTGCGTGTGTGTGTGTGTGTATGTGTGTGTGTGTGTGTGTGTGTGTGTGTGTGTGTGTG